TCCGACGACGACGCCGATCGCACGCTCAAGCGGGAAGCCGACGACGCGTCCGAGGACGAGTCGGTGCAGCTCGACCTGAAAGTGGTCGTGCAGGAGGAGAAGGGCAAGAACTCGCCGGACAAGGACGACAAGCGCAGCTCGCGCTCGTCGCTGTCGGACAGCGAGGACAGGGAACTGCGCAAGAAGCGGCGCGCGCTTCAGGGCCTGCTGCTTCAGCCGGTGGTGCGCGTGGCACGCGTGGACCCGGCGGCGGCGCGGCGCCTGCGCTCGGCCGCGCGCCCCAAGCGCGCCAGGTAGCACGACCGGCGCCCCTAGTGAGCGGTAGAATAGTCGTTATTTATTTTGTACGTGACGTGTCGATGTTCACTTTGAAACTTTCGTCAGTCGCGGCGGCCGGGGCGAGCTATCGCTGCCGAACTCGTGACGGTTGTCTGTGTATGAAGGAATTCTCTCGAGACCCGGCCGGCCGGCGTTGGAAGCAGTATTTTAAGTTTATTCTTGTAGAAAAGTAATATATCTCGAGGCTTGAACCTTCGGATTTATGTGAAATGTAAATAGTTGTAATATATACGGACGTTTCGTCAGACTAGCGTGTCGTATGTGTGTGTGCGAAAGTGCGGTGCATTTAGGCCTTGCGAGCTTAGTCTGTATATAAATGTTACTATGTATGTATGCTTAGTTTTTTTCTTTAAAAGATGATGTCATTAAAAGTTGTATAAATGATTATTCTAACTCTGGAGTTTCATTACATAGGATAGGGCACTTCAGAATCATCAACAACCATACAATAATGTACTTGTACGATGTTATGTTCATCATGAGAGAAAGCGAGTCCGATTTCCAACATATGCCTCCTGGGTACAAAAATTACAAAGGTTGATCATAGGTAGATGAATGAAATTTAGATTGTTTTTATATTTAAACCAGAATAAAAACTGCTCTCACTATTGTACACATTACAAAATAAAGAGATAGGTACACAAAAGAGAGACAGTTAAGTTTAGGCAGTCTTATCGCTATAAAGCGATGTCTTCCAGGTCACAACAGCATGGTTGTTTTTTATAAACAAGGGAAGGTGATGTTTGAGAATACCTACGTAGCCTGTGCCTACCTTTTCCCATAGGAAAATGTGTTTTTTTTATCCCTAAATAAATTACAAAGGCAACAGTTACATTCACACGCACAAGTGTTATTTAGCTTTGTGCAGGCGTTCATTTTTGATGAATTTTTAAAAAGGGAAAAGTCATCCGAATTTTATATTTGCTACTTCAAAAAAAAACATAAGTTCCCTACCTTTGTCACATTACATTCACATTTATTTTGATTACATATTAAATGGAATTTTTATAATTTGAATTCTGAGTCTCTTGTAAAATAACTTCACAGCTCTCGCGTGTCAACTCTACACGCCAGAGCTGTGGAGCCCACGCTATAGATACAAGTTGTAGGTACTGATTGTTTTATTCGGTTTGCGCATGTACCGTCAGCAGCACACGTAGGTTAAAAACAAATATTTGAATTGCGGCCGTGTGTAGGTATTAGGCCCGTGCACACATACAAACCACCTTTCGATATGTTGCTCAAGTTATTCACACCACTGTGTGTAAAGAAAAAGAACTATCTATTTTTTTCTGTTAAAATGAAGATAGCCTGTACATTTATCTTTCATTACTCATATCAGCATTCTAGGAGACGCATTTAGCGCAACGAAAATATTGAAATCGAATTGAATGACTCATACGTAGTGCTGTTATGTTACGTATTAAAAATATTGGTCACTTTTGATGATGACTGTACAACAAGACCTATCCAATTGGGAATAAATCGATGCTTCGCTTTTGACTGGGGTTCACGGACAGGTCAATAAAGAAATAGCAACTGGAATTTAATTTCAGCTTTTGTTAAGAAAGTGGACTGTAGAGTGTAAGTTTGAAATACGTCGCAACTCGTATCGGTGGTGTATGGAATGTACTTTCATACTAAACTGTTACTGTAGATATGATGACTGTACAATAAGACCTATCCAATCGGGAATAAATCGATGCTTCGCTTTTGACTGGGGTTCACGGACAGGTCAATAAAGAAATAGCAACTGGAATTTAATTTCAGCTTTTGTTAAGAAAGTGGACTGTAGAGCGTAAGTTTGAAATACGTCGCAACTCGTATCGGTGGTGTATGGAATGTACTTTCATACTAAACTGTTACTGTAGATAAAAATATTTGTACAAGGGATGCTGATAAAAAGCCCAGAATCATTATCAAAATCCATTCAGCCGTTTACAAAAGCTGCAATGTAATACACTCGCGAGCAAAAGTATGGAATCACTTACATGAAGTTGTTTCCACGCGATCTTGTGTACTAACGAATTTGTTAGGAACAAAAAAAGTGGCACCATTTTAAAGATTAAACTTTTATCTTTAAATTGATACCAAATTCGTTTAAATCACACCAGTATTTAAAAAGATATCCCGGCTAATGTGAAGAAGTAACGAAAAAGACATGTATGAACTGTTTGATAAGCACGCTTTCAATTTGCTCGTACACATCTCGATGTTAAGTCGAGCAAGCCACCCCATATAAGCCACTGTTTCAGCGAACCAGCACTGCACAAATCGCTCCTCAGGCCGCCTATAAACCCAACCTCTTCGACTGCTGCCCTGCAAACACAGTTTGCATTCATCGGAGAACAGAACTCGCCTCCATTACTCGCCTTCCCATCGAGATGTGTACGAGCAAATTGAAAGGGTGATTATCGGTGACCTGCCGTCAGTTTCGAGCCTGTGGCAGGCCTTTTTGAAGTCAAATTCTATTGCTTATATCTTAGACGAACTGTCCACTCGCTAACAGCTATCTTACGAACATTTCTGAGCTCTTGATGGACATCGATTCCAGTCAAATGACGATTTCATAGAGAGGTTGACATGAAAAAACGGTCTTCCCTCTGCGATGTGCACCGGTGCTGTTCAGAACTTGGTCTCGGGATAAAGCCACTAGTCTCCAGAAAGCGTCTTGAAACTTTTGAAACCCAGGACTGGCTTAAGTGGCGCTGACGTGCGACAGCCCGCTGGCCGAGCCTTTCTTGCAATAGTGCAACGATTTGTGCTGCTTCTGAAGGTGTAGAATCCCAGGTAAAGTGTCAAAAGAAGCGGAGATGTGTATGAATCATCGTGTGAAAGCAAAAATCTAAAAACGCGTGCTTTTATAGGGGTTAAATAGGCCGCAACTCGCGACGTATCAAACAGTTCATACATGTCTTTTTCGTTACTTCTTCACATCAGCCGGGATATCTTTTTAAATACTGGTGTGATTTAAATGAATTTGGTATCAATTTAAAGATAAAAGTTTAATCTTTAAAATGGTGCCACTTTTTTTGTTACTAACAAATTCGTTAGTACACAAATTCGCGTGGAAACAACTTCATGTAAGTGATTCCATAGTTTTGCTCGCGAGTGTAGTTACAATAAAAATGCTTTGTCTGATGATGCACTAAAAGGCTTAGTATTATAACTTTTATGCTAGGTGGCTATTATGATAGATAGATAAATGAAATGATAAAATGCAGTAATATAAATTAAGTGTTTATTACAGACATTTTATGCAGGTGTCCTGATCAAATGAAAAACAAATGATCTAATCTAACAGCCATATAATCAATAACAGAATTTACACTTTGTACATCTTCACAGATGATGTTCAGCCATGTTCGTATTGTTCATTCTTGAATTACAAGTAAATTAAATCAGAACTAGATACTAAGCTGACCCTTCATGTCTTGGACCAACTGCAAATTATGGCTAAAATTACTGCAATTTATTACTTCACTGTTCAGATTTGGTGCAAGAAACAGTTGGTCCGAGACATTATTTGAGATGCTGGAGCCCTAATTGTAAAGTTTATTCATAGACATCTTCTTTGTCGGCTATGTACTGGATAATGTCTCGTGGTCTGACAAGCCTCTCTGCATCACCATCGGGAATTTCAAAGCCAAACTCATCCTCCATTGCCATGATGACCTCCACATGGTCTAAGGAGTCCAGACCAAGGTCAGTCATGAAGTGAGAGTCCACTGAGAGCTGAAAAACATATAAAATGTTAATAAAATAAATTAAAACCATGTATGTATAACTAAATAAGTGAGAGGCGCAAACAGAAAACGGTAGAGATACAACTACAAAATATGTAACAGTGCGCTACCTTATCAGGATTAACTTTGTCATAAAGTTGCAGGACAAGGAGCACCCTACTTTTAATAAGCTCTAAGGAGAGCGGGGGGCCGCCACTGTAGTTGCGGATACCGATTTTCTGGGTCTGAAACAAAATTTGAAAAGTAAATCTAATGTATGTACCTGTCGACCACATAGCTTGTCGTAAGCCTTGCACACTTTCATGACTCGGTCCTCTATTTGCTGCGGTGAAAGCTTAGGCGCCCCAGAGTATTGTTGTATTCGCTGACACTGTACCTAAACAGTTTTTATGCTGTACATATTTGTTATGCAACACTTTGAGGTTATAACAATAATACAATTAATTTCAGGTTTTATATATCTTTCTTCAGTAAAACACCACCTTCTGATTGTGGCTAAAGTGAGGAATATGCATGAAACACTAAGGTATTTCCGAAAATCACATTGTATTGATTGATAAAAACCCTTACCTCATTTTGCAGATGAAGGGAATTTTGGGCTTTAACCAAAGTTATGGCTGTACGGAATTTTTGTTGAAGGGCTACAGTTGATAGCCGGCATACCACCGGTGTTCTATAGGTGGTGGATTTTCGTAATAATCCACTAAAAGCACTTCGAACTAAATTCGCAGCAGCCATTTTTCAGACTTCAAATAAAAACCATAGACAAACTATTTGCTGCAGTCAGTCAGTCAACAACAGATAAAACAAACACTGAAAATCGATTACGATTACAGGCGGTAACGTTATTTTTCAGTCATGTGTTCTTTGCTTTATGTTCTTTGTCTTTGACACGCAGTCCGTCATCTGTCAAATTTGACAATTCCAATCATTGTTTTTGTGTGGGACGTGGGGAGACATGGATTTACGGTTTTTTCAGGATTAAATAAATTGTAAAATGGGCAATGCTGACACAAAACTTAATTTTAGGAAGGCGGTAGTGCAGCTAACGTCTAAGTCACAGGTATGGGCTTATAAACAGGTAAAATTAGTTCAATTTAGTAAAGTTTGTGTACCACTGATGATTCTGTTTTCCCAGGCGATTGACGCAGCAGATGACACCTTTTGGGATCAGTTCTGGTCGGAGAGCGTGACCAACGTGCAGGATGTGTTCGCGCTGGTGCCAGGAGCCGAGATCCGCGCGCTGCGCGAGGAGTCGCCGAACAATCTGGCAACGCTGGTATATAAGGCCGTGGAGAAGCTCGTGAAGACTGTGGACAGCAGCTGTAGGACACAAAGAGAACAGCAGACAGGTAACCAACTTAATTTAAAATAAAAAATACTAAATATAATTGTAGTGCTGATCACCTGATGATAAAATTGTGTTATTGATTATTTAGTGTTTCCAATTAGAATCTTAGTGAAACAAAGCTAATTAGCAATTTAAAAAATAATTAGCTTAATAAGAAGTTGCTATGTGCATTGTGCAGTATCCCCCAATTATTGGAATTAAAACAGGATCAATAAATATACATTCTTGAGTCATATAGCTTAGCACCTAAGAATGTTAGCTGTGGAATGTACCAATCTCCTTAAGAGATAATTTAAGATTTGTAGTTTCTGTACTAAATATCATTAGTCAACCATTTGAGTCCTTACAGGCTTCACAAAAATCTACTGTTTTAGTCTCTCTGAATAACTGAATAAAGTAAAATGGAGAATTTTGCCCTAATATTGTTGCATATTAAATAAAATGTTCTAATTAAGAGCAGATTAGTTAAATGATTGATAAAAAATTAATAAATCTTTATTAAATTCATAAAATTCATTTATTTTTGCAAATAGGCTTTAAAAAAGCGCTTTTACACGTCCCAATATTAACCCTACCACTGCTTCGGGACAATAAATGGGCCAGTGCTGAGAAGAAGCAGCGCAAGATATTTGCAAGCTATGGTATTCTCTTGTTAATCAAACCTCTATTTCTCAGCTCTGAACTGTGCGCGGCTGCTGACACGAGTGTTGCCGTACATGCTAGAAGAGCCGGACTGGCAGGGCTTCTTCTGGTCCTCGCTGCCAGCTGCGGCGGAGAACGAACAGTCAATCCCCCTGGCTCAGTCACTCATCAACGCTATATGTGTTAGTAACTACATTAACGGATTTCTACTTAACTATTCAATTTGTTTATTTGCTCACTAAGGCTGAGTTGCACCACCTAACTTTAACAGTAACTATGACAATAACCGGTGTTTTGTATGGAGTTTGACTGATTTTAGAGACAGCCTAAGTGTACATAACAGGTCTTTATCTTAGGTGCTTATAACTTAGTTACCTAGTTAAGGTATTGCAAATTATATGTATTTGTTGTGATTCTGACTCATTATTTATTTGATTTATGTTAGAGATGAAACGGATAGTTGTTTGGCCGGATACCGGATACCGGATATCCGGCCAGCTGCTAGGCCGGATAGCCGGATATCCGGCGGCCGGATAGTTGGCCCATTGTCTCGTTGCATGTCGTGACGAGTATAGTGCCGCACAGGTGCTTCGAACGCGATCAGTGGGTCTATTAGTAGAATAGACTAGTCACACTTTTGGAAAATCGAATCCGTCCGAATAGAATGTCAGATTTTGCCACTTGTCTAGGGGGCAGATCAATTCAATTTCGGCTGCAATCGTGAGTGTGTGATTGAATAGCGAAAATTTAACTATACTGGTCATCACAAAAATCGGCCCACCTACGTTTTACAGGAAAACTCGTTTCTACTGACACAGTCATGGTGCCCCAACAATATTGGTGTTATTTGAAAGCCCAATAAATATCCTTAAAGAAAAACACATTTAATTTCTTAATAAACGATTAACATAAACGCGATATACAATAAATGTGACTTGAAAAATGACCTCACTTTGGGCTCACCTCTGGGATCAATTAGACCCATTTTTATGGTTATAAAACCAAATAATTATCACGTGTCCTCTTTAACAGATGGATAGCGATTAATCCCAACTTAACAGTTTTATAGCCATAAAAGTCGGCTCAAGCGTAACTACCTATTTTTTTTAAGAAGTGACTCTGGATTCTTCTACAGACACATTTTTGGGGTAAAAACCTTTCCTTTAATGAAATGAAGTTTAGAACTAGGCTTTTAAATGGTGCCAATATTGGTGGGAAGTGGGGATGCATACGTTTGAAAGTGCTTGTCGCGGGAGGGTCGATCTTTGTGATGACCAGTATAGTTGCATGATGTCATCAGACTATCAGTGAAAAAAAAATCGCCTATTTTATTTGGCAATATTTCGACATTAACAGATATTTACTATTTATCTATGTATTCGTCATTAGAGTGAATAGCCCAGAAAAATAAATTAGTTTTGAAAGGCCTTAATATGGCTTTTTTGTAACTTTTTGGACTTTAAATAAAAGCCGTCATTATTGTAAGCCATTTTATTGATATTTACCTCAAAGATTAATGTATTTCATTTTATTAATAGGAAATTGTCGTTTTTTTTTAATATCCGGTATCCGGCCGGATAGTGAGTTACTATCCGGTATCCGGCCGGATAGTAAATTAGGGCCGGATATCCGGCCTACCGGATAGTTGCCGGATATCCGTTTCATCTCTAATTTATGTATATGGTTTGTGAAAGTCCCTAAGATTGTCAAGTTAAACTTGCTAAGAGTTGAAGTATTTTAATCCTTTATACAATTCATCCTCTTCCCTATTTTTTAAAATAACTGTCCACTCCCTTAATGATCTGGAAAAGATCTTTTTGTCTCATCACCATGAGACTGCCAAAATTATGTCCTTCCAACTTAACTATTGATTGTAATCACTATTTGAAATCTTGAGAACTTTATGTGATGATGATTTTTGATATTTTTGTTATCATCAGGATCTCCTGTTCTGCCCAGACTTCACAGTGGTGAGCACCAAGCGGTCTGGCCCGGTGAGTATTGATTCTATGATATCTATTAATCTTATCACTCACTTGTTTCCCTCTGTTTTATTAAAAAGATAACAAATGTATAAATACAGATAGTTTTGTAACTTCCTCTCTCAAAATATTGATAACAAGCCTTGATGTGTTATATGACCAATTCTAAGTGTAACTTCTATTTTATTTTTCAGTCATTTTATTATTGTTTAAATATTATTTTGTTCAATATTTGTTTTGAGGCTAGGTTTAGATGGTCGCGCGCCGATGCGCTTTCATTCTTAAAGAGATTAAAGAGATTCTAATAATATTAGAGAGCTGAGTGCCTTACCAATAAGTTCCAAGTTCCAAGGTCAACTTCTATAAAAATACTTACATTTTGGACTTTGTCATTTGTATTATCCTACTAATATTATAAATACGAAAGTTTGGATGTCTGGATGTTTATAACCCAGAATAACATATAGGCAGTGCCGTATTATCCATAAGGCACTTTAGGCCAGTGCCTAGGGGCCCACTATGGCCAGGGGCCCACTATGACCAGGGGCCCAGCACTCCCAATAAAAAAATGAAAATAAAATAATGTTAAAAGATTATTTTTATGCAACAAAACTCAAACCACCTCAAAACTTCGCCTTATTTTGGTTTACACATTCAATCGTCATATTTCGATATTGTGGAACCTAATTAATTTTCGTGACGTTGGCATTACTGCTTTGGTTTACATGACAGGTCGACGGTCGACGCCCTTCAGAGGCTAAAAAGCCTCACTGCGGAGGCTAGGGAGAGGCCTGAGGGTGTGTTGGCTGTATCATTCGATATAGCCAACGCTTTCAATACCATCCCTCATTACTCTAGGCACTTCAACATCACAGAGTGCCTCAGTACCTTCGAGCGCTGCTGGCCGATTACTTACGGGACCGCGAAGTCCTGTATGTTAACAGAGACGGCCAGCTCAAACGGCGCGGTGTAGCCAGCAGGATTCCGCAGGGTTCGGTGCTTGGTCCCCTTTTGTGGAACCTAGGCTTCAACTGGCTCCTCCGGGGCGTACTTCTCGCGGGCATTAGTGTCATATTATCCTATGCGGATGACACTCTGGTTACTGCCCGGGGAAGACATTTGGGGCCGCGGCATGGCTGGCATTGGCGGGCGGCATATTAGTTGCTCGTAGAATACGACGCCTCGGCCTGAAAGTCGCGCTGGAGAAGACTTGAGGCCCTCTTCTTTCCGGGGCCTCGCCAGCGCGCCCCTTCCTGACGCGTTGAGGACGTTATTGGATTGACGTCAGGCCTCAGCCTCGAACTTAGCGGGCGGCGGGGCGGCGGCGGCGGCGGCGCGGGAGCGGCAGGATCTTATGCGTAAAATCAAATAGACCGGTTCTCGAAAACAGCGGCGCGGCAGCGGCGCCAGAGCAGGCAACGAGCGGGCAGCGGCGAGGGAGAAGGCAACGAGCGGGCAGCGCACTCCTTCTTTTGCCCACAATAAATCGAGCGTTAGGAATAAATTTGAATCGAAATAAAATTGTCGCCGTTGTTCAGACATTTCGTTTGCGAATAAAAACAAATATCTCGACAACACACACAACCCCGAACACAACACTTCGCCGCTAAAGCGCCGCGCGAGCTGCCCGCTTGTTTCGAGAACGGGTCTGCGTTGCCCGCCCCGCTCCAGCGCCGCCGCCGCACCCGCCCCGCTGCCCGCTAAGTTCGAGGCTGAGGCCTCAAGAGCCAGATGAGATATCTGGGCCTCACGCTTTACGGGAGGTGGCATTTTAGCCCGCACTTAAACGGGCTAGCGCCACGCCTCCTCAAGGCAGCCGGCGCACTGAGTTAGTTCCTCCCGAATTTGGGAGGGCCACAAACGAGGTGCCGTCGACTTTATGCCTGCGTTCTGAGGAGCATGGCGCTGTATGGCGCCCCAGTCTCGGTGGACGCACTCAACAAGAGGGACAATGCTGCCCTTCTGCGCAGACCCCAGCGGGCCATAGCGCAGAGGGTCGCAAGGACCTACCGCACGGTAGGGCACTCTGCGGCATGCGTCCTCGCTGGTACTCCTCCTTGGGAGCTAGAAGCTGGGGTCTTGTCTGTCATCTATCACTGGATGGCAGACCAGAAGGCGCGTGGAAAGCGCCCGGAGCGGTGCGGCACCGTCACGAAGACATGACTCGCGCGCAGTTTTTAAAGTTTGATCACTACAAGCCCGGACACACTGTATAACTAAAAAAATGTAATTTTCGCAATTTTTCCTATATTTGCATTATATGACAATGCTTTATGCCAAATTTCAAGATTCTGAGTTTACGGGAAGTATCCTGTAGGTTTTGATTCCTTTGCGAGTGTCGAAAATTTGTTGAAAATATCGACATAATCGGCTGTATCTTTTGATTGGCTTGGCTTAGAAGTTTGATATTTTCACAGCTTAAAGGGACAATAGACCTGAGTATTTCATGTGAATTTCAGCTTGATAAGTTCACGCGTTCTTGAGATAAAGGGTCTTGACAGACGGACGGACAGACGGACAACAAAGTGATCCTATAAGGGTTCCGTTTTTTCCTTTTGAGGTACGGAACCCTAAAAAAGGATCCTAATATTCGATATGGTAATACTTAAAGATATCGTGGTCACTTATTTATATTTTTAAATATATTTTTTTACTTATCTATGCCATTTTACAACTTTTCAACGTCATGTGTCACTGTCAGGTAATGTCAAAGTCAACCAAACGGTTTTGTTGTGAAAAATTTCAAGTTCTTAGCGCGCGTTTTTGGTTTTTTTGAAACTTTGTTCAACGAAAATTCTGATGTGTTTTTTCGATTCAAATTCCTAAACTATAACATTTATTGTATAATCTCGCTTATAGGCAGCGTCTGCAATTGATTTATTCATATAATTTAGACATTTTAAAGAAGTGGTAAATAGTTTACCACTGTCCGATCCCGTCATAACAAAAGTTTGATGATATATGAAAAAAACTGTTGTTTTTTGTATTTGCACAAATAAAACTAAATGAATATTTGGAGAAATTTTAAGTTTTTATTATATTAACGTTTTGACGTTACGTAATTAGTGAATTGTTAGTTTCAGACTCAAGGTAAGAATAATCATTGTAAGCATAATAACTAATATTAATAAATTCGATACCTTCAGGTTCAATTGTCGTATAAACCAAAACCCTACTTTTCAGGATCCCCAAAAAACGTTTTTTTTTTAAATAAAAAAATCGTAACTTTTTTATTTGAGAAGTTATAAAAAAATGACCAAGAGAAAACATTTTTCAATTATTATTAAAACTATGCATGTAAATAATGTATTGTTTACTATTTCCAGGCTTTTGTTGTTTAGAGAATTTGCACAAAGATATTAACAGTGTAAAAACTATATTTGGTTGAGGTAGAAATAATAAATTTGCTTGCATACGAAAAATAACAAGTTTATTGTTTTTTTTTTTTTACAATTTTGCAGGAAAATTATGGCAAAACTAATAATTTTAAACAAAACTAATAACCATAAATTTTGAACAAAAAAATACAATTACAGCAAAACATTAAGACAGCTTTTCTGGTTCTCTGCTGAAGCATATTGAATTCGTTTGGTTATGATAAATTTTGCATAAAGAGAAGAGCCCCAGTATGCTCAGGAGAAGGATTTGTAATTTTTTGAGAATTACTCTAAGGAATTTATATCTTTACAAGAAACCCAAATTTAAATTACAGCTTAAAGTAAAGGCTAGATAACAAAATTTCAATTATTTGTCCGTCAGACAGATAATTAGAAAATATTAGACTCATATTTTTTATTTTCTTTCATAATTAAATAATAACAGTGCTACATCGAGTTGAAATGGCGCGATACGTCACGCTTGAGTAGAATTTTTATTCAAAAGTGACGTCACGCGACATTTCAACTCAATATAACACTGTAATTATTCGATTATGGAAAAAAAATATGAGTCTAATATTGTCTTATTATCTGTCTGACGGACTAAATAGAATTTCGATTTCATTACCTAGTCATCATCCCTAATAGTACTTGTAAAGTAATAAATTATTACAGAGCATATCAAAAGGGTATAAATAGCCTTCATGAGCACACTATGGCTTGTTTTCTTTATTTAAGAGTCTTGAATTTATCACATTTAGTCGAGATCAATTCACGAATGTACTGGACCTGGAAAGCAACCTTATATACCTACCTATCTAGTTATCATCTTTAAAAGTAGAAACAATCAACTTTCTTTATAACTTTATAATTAAGAAAATCTTACTATCCATACATACATATGTGATGCAATAAATAAATTAATCCCAACTAATATTATAAATGCGAAAGTAACTCTGTCTGTCTGTCTGTCTGTCTGTCTGTCTGTCTGTCTGTCTGTTACGCTTTCCCGCTTAAACCTCGCAACCGATTTTGATGAAATTTGGCATAGAGATAGTTTGAGTCCCGGGAAAGAACATAGGATAGTTTTTATCCCGGTTTTTGAAACAGGGCCGCGCGCGATAAAGTTTTTCTGTGACAGACAAAATTCCACGCGGGCGAAGCCGCGGGCGGAAAGCTAGTATGAATATGAAACAGATAATTACCATATTGAATACGTAGACTTACGACGTTGGATCCAAATATCTGGCCATATGTCTTTGGGCGTAAAAACCATTTTCAATTACGAGTGAGTTTTACATCCTGGCTTAAAAAAATGTATGGTTGATACATCTTAGCAAAAATACCAAAAACAAGCGTTCGGTTTTTACATCGTTTATAAGGTATTTATTTATCTTTTAGGCTATAGTTTTTTGGGGCATATAAACATTTTTTTTTTGCGAATTTTAATATATCGAATATACAGCTCGATAGAGAAAAAAATTCTGATTAAAATGGTATATATGTTACTGTAAAAGCTCGAACTACGGTTAATCTTAAGATTTAAGTGTAAGTCTTAGGATTTACCGACATGAGTTGGTAAATGTAAGTATTTCTGAAAATACGACGACTTTTTCGAGCTTTTACCATTCGAATTAAGTATATGTTAGGTTTTACCTCTGTCAGCTGGTAGATGTTGGTTTTAGGAATAAAACAATGAGTAATTCT